GTCAGTATGAGGCTGTTCCACTGTTTCTACCTTAAGTGCCTCTTTCGCATTTTTCTCACCAATTTAGTAATCTACTAATCTTTCAGAACTTGAGCTAAAATTTCATTTCTAAAATTTACCCAGAAGTTACAAAAAATGCCAGCAACAATTCTTTTAGAAGTAGATTCACAGCAGCACAGCTTATGTTAGCAGAGTAATGAGGAACATCCTAAATGCCCAACACTTAAGTATTAGTAAACAGAGCATACACTATTTCATCAGATGTTATGAACCCACTAGAATTTTGGAATTAAAAAATGTTTACACACAGAAAAAAGTAACTCCCCTAGCTGGTTTGGCACCTTCCACACATCTCTTTGTTGCACTTGGCTCACTGTCTTATTGATTTGCTTCTGGGCCTGTTTTTGCTGCTTTGCACACAGAAAGACCACATTTAACTCACCAGACTCCATAACAGGACTCTGGTACAGTGCAGTCCTAGTTCCATAAGCCTTAGGTAAACCATGAGCAAAAGGATGTCTTGAATTTACAAATAAAAGCCTCCACAACAAAGGCTAAAAATAAATAGTCACTACAGTCCCCCAGTGTCAGATCTGTTCAGATTCTGTTGGAGCACTCTGAGGTAAGTTAAAAACCAAAAAGCAATTGTGTTTTTCTTTAATCCCATTAGTGACATTATGCATCAAGAATTAATTGTAATAAATACTGTTTTCTTGAGTAACTGAGATTTCAAATTACACAAGAAACTGCTATGTTAAATAAAGGCATCTGATTATCATTTCTACAGTAAGAAAGGGGGAAATGTGAATTTCAATACCATGTAGGCCTATCAGTATTTCTAAAGGACTCTGAAACTATCCCTCAAAGACTCTGGTTGACTTTTGGAGTATATCAAGTCAGCTTCTACATCAATACCTACAATGTGGCCTGAAGCCACTTACAAGTGTCAGCAAACAATTAAGTCAGTGACAAAAATGCTGAGTCTCTGAAGATCAAACAATGATCCTGTTTGTGGGAATCACTACTATTCATTTTTCTCCCGAGAATAATTATGTGTATGCAGCACATCAGAAAGAAGGACCCAGCCTAGCCCTGGAGCCTCACCCTTTCCGGCTCATCTACTATGTCCTATTCTGTGGCCCTCCCAATGCTACATGGGTAAACTGCCACTCACTTGACCCACTGGAATTAGCTTAGTTTACTGCTTTTGGTTGTTCTGCCTGACTTAGCTATTTCCTGTTCATCATTAACATTCAGCTCAACCATCACTCAGCATTCTCCTGGGAAACTTCTCCAACCCCAGTACCAGTCCATGCCTGTCTGGTTTTCCCAGAGCACCCAGTGTTTCCTTTTACACAACACTTAACACTGTGTACTATGTTCACTTGTTACTGTATCCAAAGCTGTTTTTCTTTCTTAGGTCGAACACGGTGCTTAGTACTGAGTAAGCACTCAACAGATATATGCTGAACTGAATGAGACCTCAAAGGGGTAGATTTAGTGCTGAGTTGAAGGGCCTGCTGATATTGTTGCTAGGAGCCAGGCGCTCTTCCAGGCAACAGCTGCAGGCTCCTCCCCCACTTGTCAGACCCTTCTGCAGGTGGTAGAAGCAGAGCAGATGATGGGGCTATATTGCTACTGGTACTACGTGGGGGGCAGGGGAGGGGGAGGGAGGACAAAACAACTAAAGTAAAAACAAGCTTAAAAAAAAAGTTTTGTCATAGTGCCAGCTCTTACACTTCATACTCTTGCCAGCATTCAAGGGCTGCTTCTGAAAAGATGCCCCCCCCAACCCCCACTCGTTATAAGAGCTTCTTTCAGCAGGGGCAAGCATTTGGCCCCTTCGACCTCATAGACCTTAATCTTAACCAGGAGAAAAAGAAAATATCCTTCGATCTTTAAGACTAGCCCTTCAGAGCCTACTCTATCTAGATATCAGAAAACAGATACTAGGTATAGCATAGAAACAAATTATTTGCTACACAGACAAGAAATGATCAAATGGGTGAGTGAAGGAAAGAAAACATTTTATCACCACCATTTTAGAGAGGCCCGACATTTAGTATGTAGTCCAGGCTGGCTTCAAACTCAGAGATCCTTCTACCATAGCTTTCCAAGTCCTGGGATTACAGTCATAAGCCACTCTACTTAGTCTAATGATCGAACTGTAACAGCAGAAAGGCAAATCCTACAAAGATAATGTATCTTAATGGGCCAACACACCATAATGCTGACAAGGAGGAGGAAGGAAAGACGAAAACCCAGGTCTTACTTATATGCACTGCTCTTAATCCTCACCTCTAACCTCCCACAAACTTTGGAGTAAAACGGAATGAATGGATGACTTCTCATGAAAACTAGAAACATGATTCCATCCAGCAGATGGCACAAGTAGAGTGGGACCAGAGTTTGGATACCAATTTCTTACTCTGTCCCTCTTGGTAACTTTACCCTCCAAGGATCATTTTCAAAAAAGTTATGACTATATCATATCTTCAGACTACTCATCAAACAGTATTCTCTTTTTAAATGATGAAAAATTCAATATTTACTGAAGAGTAAATCTGTATTTTTCTGTCCAAGCAGTAATCCAAGGCTTTGCTTTCTTCAGTTATTTGAAGAACTACTCTTAATTTATGGAATCATGCATGGTAACCTTTTTGTTTTTTTTTTTAAATCCTGCATTCTTCCAATAAAGTACTTCCTGAAGTTTGTGAGGTACTATAAAATGATCTAAGGATTAAATGAATGTTTGAACTTTCAACTTTAAGAACCATAAAGAGTAAAGCTTCTATACTGGATATTGCTTGCCCCTCACTACTGTTCATGTTGACCTACTACAAACTGGCCCCTTAAAAGACAGCCTTTCCTTGCCTGGGGATGGGAGTGCTCATTTAAACTGGAAAATTAAGATAATAGATATCTGCAAGAATAACAATGTTCAGTGTATATCTCTTCCAGCTATGTGTCAGATTAACAAAGTGACAGGCAGTCTGGTGGTGTTCTAGCCCACTACAGAGACGCAGCTCTGTGATCTACCTGAGCATGAAAAAGTATGGTACAGCAGTATTAGCATTACATTAGTGAAGCTGAAGTTAGCACAAAACATATAATTTCTTCAAATAAATTAAACATAACCTTGGTACATTAAAAATTTAGCTCTCTACAACTTCTTTAAATAAGAGACAAGATAAAATAATTAACAACCAAACATGAGTTTTAAAACCTTGAAGCCAGTTTCCAAGGAAAAAGCATAAAAATTATCCTAGAGAGAAGAGAGGAGAGAAGGCAACAGGATAATAGTGCTAAAACTGCAAGCTGAGCCTATGGTTCAGGAAAAAAAAAATAACAAAACCAAAACCAACAATCAAAAAGAACACCTAACCTTAGTATAAGTTAGTCTTCTAAGAATAATAAGTAGGCCAAAGTAATGATCAGTGATAATGATTCCAGATGTGATTGAAAGCTACCATTTATTACATACCTACAAGCTGGCAAGCACTGTTAGGTACAACATAAAATGATGTCATGCAATCACCGATCCTATGAGGTCAGTATTGCCACTTAATGGATGAAGAGCCTCAGAGAAATGAAGGAACTAACTTAAGGCTCACAACTCCTAAATGACAGAGCCTGAATTCAATCACAGGGCTGTGTAACTCCAAAGCACAAGATCTTCCCACTTGCATGATGCTGTATCTCAAGAATAAAAATACGACAGCAACCTGAAAAATGTTTTTAAAACACTCAAAATTAATCTCACCGGCTATTTGATCTCTCTAGAACTCACAATGCCTCAAGCTGGGGATTAAGAGGTCAGGGAATATATTAAAAAACAAAACAGTGGCCATCTGAGGAAAAGAGTGGGTGGAAACAGAACCAGGGCTCACTTAAGGATGAGGCGTTCCTCCTTCACTCTGCCAGGGCAGAAATCCGCCATATCCACACACCAGGAAAACATCTGTCAACTCATGACCTTCATCTCAAAACTGCAGACACCTTTGGCTTATTTGAAAATGTAGTGGTTTTTTAAAAAGACTTTTTCTTAACATAGCAAGAAATCCGAAGAGAAAGTAGTTCTAAAGTATCTCTAACCAACTATCAATCCACCTTCATTGTTCTGTGTCACCGCCATTATTGAATTTCCCACTACTTGTTTTTTCCTGTAACTTGGATTTCTCTACCTGCTTTCTCCCCTAAACTGCAGAAACTCATGTCATATCCAGGCCCATACTTTGTCCAAGAGCAAGCTAATCTCTCCCACATCTTGATAGTTTTACTACTCTAGTTTTCAAACAGAAAAAATTGAATCCCCCACTCCCCAAATTCTAACCTTCCCCGTTCACTCCCAGATCTTCGACCCATCTTCCTCACATCCCAGACTCTTCCGTGCCCCCTCAAAATTCGGCCCCGGTCCTCCAGACTCAACCCCACCTCCACCTGCCTCCTAGCGACCCGTTTCCAGCCCCCATCCTTCTCTCCTTCTCACCATCGAGGTTACTCTTAGCACCCTAGTCTCTCCATCTCTTCCCCGGTTTTGAAGGTCCTCAACCTTCAGAATCCCCTTTCTTCACGCCTCACTATCTCCAACTTCACAATCCACGGCCTCAACTAGTTTCTTCCCTGCCCCCCAAGTCCCACCCCTCCCCCTATTCCAACCCTAGCTCCTTGCCTCCGTGCACTCCTCAACCCCTTTTTTCCCCCCTTCCCCGGCACTCCCACCCAAGCCTCTCCCCAAGTCCACCTAAGCTAAATCCGCTCTCTCCCGCCCAGAACCCTAATTCTCACACACCCTCAGTCTGACCCCGGACGCCGCCGACCCCACCCTTATACCCACCTCAGGCACCCTATATCTTCATCCTCCCACCTCTCCCACCGCGAGCTCTACCTCGTCCCTAGGGCCTTTCCCCTCCCCCAGCCCCCTCACACTCCGCCCCCGCACCCACGCGCTGCCCGAGGCTCGGCGAGCGGCCCGGCCCGCGGCCGCCACCTACCTGTGCCCCTGCCCGGGGCAGCGAGCGGCTGCACCTCACTGGCGGCTCCTTCCTCCACTGAGCGGCTGACCAGGAAGCGGCTCGGCACCTAGGCCACAAAGCCGGTGAGGGTGGGACACACACAGAGGGTGGCAAGAGGGAGGGGCTGGGGGCGACCTGCCGCCGCGGGACCGCGGGACCAGCGGGGAGGGGGAGGCCTCGGCTGGGTAGGCGCGCGTGCGCGGGGCCGGCATGAGGGGCGTGGTCTGATCTGAAGTGGGCGGGGCATATGGTGGGGCGGGGCCTGAGTGGGGTGGGACAGCCGATCTGAGAAAGCCGGGCAGTCGCAGGAAGGGTGAAAGGGGCGGGGCGGGGCCGTGCGTGTGCGTGCCCGCGCGAGGGCGTGGCCCCCGAGACCTCTGGGGGCCCCCGAGGCAACGCGGAGAGGGTTAAGGGTAGACCTGAGGAAAGACGCGCAACCGAGGTGGCGCATCTAGGCGGGCCAGTGCCAGGAGATGGCGGGGCGGAGCTGCGCAGGGCGCGCGCCTGGGAACTCCGCTAAGGCTGAGGCGGGGGCCGGGCGGGAGCGAGGCGGGGCGGGGTCGGGCGGGGCGTGCTGGGCGGGGATCGCGAGCCGACAGGGTTCTTTCGCGGAGCTACCCGAGGCCCAGGCGAGCGGGTCTGTGCAGCACGGTGGGCGGGCACCGGAGAGGTGGGAGCCGGGTGGCGAGCCCGGCAGAGGGATGCGGGCGGGAAGGAGCCGGTTGTGAGGAGTCGCGCGGCGGGTGATCGCAGGAGGACCTGCGATGTAGCTGGGAAAGGACAGTCTAACTAGGGCCTGGCGTCTCTCTAGGCCCCCTCCCCAAGAACTTTTAGTGCCCTGAAATGATGCTTTGACCCTTAAGAGAAAGAACAATTAACAAATTACAGTTAATATGCCAAACGTAAGACGACGTCAGCATCGTCCAACTTAAAATAGGAATAATATTTAAAGTCGATGTGGGTGGATTTACATTATTTGAAATCATTTGGGTCTTGGAGGTGAGTGGACTGTGTTCCGGCTGCAACCCTGGGAGACAGAGAATGACCGGTTTTAAATTTACTCCAGAGCTACCAGTATAGGAAAGGATTTGGGGTAGGCAGATTTAAGAGCACCCAGACCCAAAGGCGCTGGTCAACGAGAAAATCAACCCAGGACTTGACCCAGAGGTTTTCTGAAAGAAGTACCGGAGGGGGCCACACTATATGTAAGAAGAAAATCAATGGCCCTGGTGAAGGATAGGGAATCCACAGTCCCTGTCGGTAAAACACAGAAAGGATGGATGGTATCCTAGAGCCTACTACCACTTGGGTAGAGAGTCCCTGAAGGTATTCATACTTGCTTAGATCAAGCATGTCCTCTCAAACCTGCATCTTGGAGCTGTGTGGAAACAAACAAACAAACAAACAAAAAACTCATGAGCATGCATGAGTTTTCCCAGCTGAGAGGTTTTACGGGTTTCTTGAGGTTGGTTTACCTCTTTCTCATTAACTGCAACAAAAACTTAATGAAAGCCCAGTCTTCGCCCCTTGTTTTACAGGACAGATATTGGTAGTTCAGGTATATTCATTTTGTATTAAAGTGCTTGTATATTCTTTATGTAGCTCTTGTTTGTCCTTTCCTTAGACATCTTAGATCATTTAAGAAAAAAAAAGCTGAAAATTTGAAGAGAACACACTGTATCTTATTCATCTACTATATACATAGATATGAGAACATTTCTCTAAATGGTAACTTTTTTTTTTTTTTTTTTGAGAGCAGGTCCATTGTAGCCCAGGAAAACCTTAAACTTTCTTCTAATCCTTCAGCCTTGACCTTCACAGTACATGGGGCATCACCCCTGACTTGTAATTCTTTTGAAAATGTATTGATTCTCCCTTATACATTATTTATCCACATGAGCTATACATCCTGTATTTACCTGTTTTGAGACATTCACACCAATTAAGATGGTAAAAGTAAAATTTGTTATGTCATCTTTTTTGTAGGAGGTGTGCATCTTTAGTATATATATGACTGGAGGGGGCACTGGAAGTTTTATTTGTCTGTTTGTTGTTTGTTTTTTGTTTTTTCAAGACAGAGTTTCTCTGTATAGCCCTGGCTGTCCTGGAACTCACTCTGTAGACCAGGTTGGCCTCGAACTCAAATCTGCCTGCTTCTGCCTCCCAAGTGCTGGGACTAAAGACATGCACCACCACTGCCTGGCTGGAAGTTTAAAAAAAAAAAGTTTATTTATTTATTACATTTATTCATTTGGGGGGAGCATGCTCATGAGTTTTTTGTTTGTTTGTTTGTTTACCTCCCCCAAACAGTATGGAGCTTAATAATGTCCTTGAAAGGTTCTGAACTGAACAGCATACTCTGGATGTGAATCACATTGTTAGCACCCAACTGCTAGTTGTGTGTCTAGTATCAGCCTTTGCCATGTCAGCATTATAAGTGCCTTGGCCCTTAGTACAAGGGGACCCTTATTGATGTTTAAAAAATTTGATGAAATGTCCTACCTCTTTAACTTCTTTAGTTGTGTTTTGTTTTGTTATACTGTTGGATATCAAACCTGGGGCCCATGCCTGCCCATTGGCACTTTCCCATTGGCTACACCCTCAGCCTAACTTTTAGTAAATCTAAAATAACACTTTTAAATTTTACCTTTGGGACAGTGTTGTTTTATGTTGACTCTGTCAGTGACTAAAGTTAAATTTTAATACATCTAGATCAAGGGTCATAAAGGGCCAAATAATATTTTAGGCTTTATAGTCTGTGACAACTACTCAGTTCTGCCACACAAAGGCAGCCATAGACAAGATATAAATGGATGAACATAACCTTGTATCAATGAAACCGTTCTATCTTGTTCCCTCTCTCCCTGTCTTTCCCTTTCTCCCTCCCTCTCCTTCAATGAACCCAGGATCATGAATATGCTAAGCACAGGGTGTACATCCGTACTAAACACCTCTGTCCCTCCAGCATTTCTTTTGAGAGCCAGTTCTATTATTCAGCATATAAGTTGATATTTCAGCTTTGTCATGTCTACAGAGTTGGTAAGCATACTTCTTATGCCCATATTTAACAACAATGTTATTTCAAATACCTTTACTTAATTCTGCTTCCTGCTTCCTTTAGCAATAGGATCTTATTCTGTAGCTGAAGATGGCCTGGAGTTTACTATGTAGCCCAGGCTCCCTGCCCAGTTGTGATAATCTTGCTTTTAGCTTCTCACATGCTTTGATTACAGATCTATGCCACTATGCCAAGCCACATAAGTTTTGAATGGGATTATAGCTCAACAGTAGATCATGTGCCTAGCATTCTGAAAGCCCTGGGTTTAATTCTTAGCACTATAAAAATAAATTTAAATTTTAAGAAGTGCTGAATAGTACAAGTTCATTTTGTTTTGCTAATAATCATTCTCTGAGTGTAGCTATTCAAAGAACTATAAGTAATTGTTGAAATATTGTCTGTCATTCAGCCCATAGTTTTCTGGCCCAAAGTGTATCTTGAAAATATTTGTTAAAATCTTCAGAAACAAGCATGTTCCTAATTGGTAGGAACTCCAAGGGGAAAAAAGAAAGTTACTTTGCTGTAACTTGATAGTTAATGTTATTATTATTTTCAATTTAAATTTGTGTCCACATTTTCAATTTGTAATAAGCTAAGACTTTTGTTTGTAATTAGCATATAGGTTCCATATATATGTATATGCACATGAGTTCTCTATTTTCCTCATCTTGGTATCAGTAGTATAAAGGTTGTGCTTAGATTAATCAAGAAAAATACACACAGAAATGTTAAAATGTGTCTCTTGAAGTATAACTACAGCTTTCAGTACTCTTGATACTGTTTTGAACTTTAATAGAAAGTGAACTTTTTTTGCTAATATAAAGACCAAAAAGAAATGAAATAAAAGTTACCAGTAATTAACATAAGGCCTACAAGATAGCTCAATGGGGAAAGTGTTTGGTACATAAGCCTGTTTGGTACCCAGAACCCACATAAAGGTGGAAGGCAAGAACTGACTGACTCTTGAGAGTTGTCCTCAAAGTTTCCCAGCCACCACAAAACTCATACCTACATAAACATCATAATACACACTCAGTAATAATAAATATAATTATTAAAAAGTAAATTTTAAAAATGATTCAAGAACTACCAATTTTGGAATTAAAAAGTGGCTCTAGAACTGGGCTGGGTGGTACACAGATGGATACACACCTGTGATTCCAGCACTGGGGAGGCTGAGGCAGAAGAATCACAGGTTTGAGGCCAGTATTATAATCATAGTGAAAGCTTGTCTTAAAAAACAAACAAAAAACCAGGCCCTATAAACACTTAACCAGGTATGGCTCAAATAACCCCTTTATGTCTCTGCCCCCCGTCTCTGTCTCTGTGTGTGTGTGTGTGTGTGTGTGTGTGTGTGTGTGTATGTATGTGTGCACTTGCCCAAGTTCAAAGCCAGATTAGGCTAAATAGAAACACCCTATCTAGGAAGAAATAAAAGAAAGAGAGAGAGAGAAAGAGAGAGAGAGAGAGAGAAAGAAAGAAAGGAAGAAAGAAGAAAAACAAAGTATACAGTGTTTTATCATTTGCTTTCAGTCTGTGTCTTTATAAAATTAGAGTGTGTCTCAAAAATATAATTTGGTTGATTTTTAAATCCAGTCAAATAAGCTAGTGCTTAGTTTATTAATGGTAAGTGGAAAGATAATATACTTATGTTTAAATCTGTCTGCTTGCCCTCTTTCAGTATAGTCAAGCGTTTTTCTAGTATTGTGGATTTTTTTCTCTTCTGTTGGCTTTTATCTTAGTCTGTTTGTGTTTCTATAAAATACTTGAAGCTGGGGGATTTGTAAAGAAAGTACATTTATTTAACACACTGTTCTGGAGAGCCAAGGACTTGCTAACATCTGCTAGTGTGGGTCAGGATCTCATAGGTGATAGATAGCATGTAGGGGGAAAGAGAGTTCACAAGGCCAGAGATGGAAGCAGGAGAGCAGGGAAATGAATTCACTCCTATAAACACAGCCTACTCTCTGAGACCCTTGTTGGTAATCACTTTAAGAGGCTCTTGAGACCTGTTCACCTCCCAGTAAGTTTCATCTCTTAAAGGTCCCACTACCTTCCACTATAGTTACAGTAGAGTTCAAACTCCCACCATTTGAACCAAAGAAGCCTTCTTTCTTTCTTTGTTGGTTTTGTCTTTACTGGATACTATACAATCCTAAGATTATGACATGAATTCTTAACATCCTAGTGTTTCTCTTTGTCTGTCTCTGTCTGGTTTTGCAGTACTGGTATCTAACCCAAGACACTGTGTATGTAAGGCCGGTATTCTACCACTGAGCTGTTTCCCCAGCCCCCTGGTCTATTTTGAGCTAATATTATTTTGTTTCATGGTTAGTGTTAAGAACTTTACTAGCATGATCTATGGGTGCAATTTCATTACCCTCTTCTTGCTTTGTATTATTTATTGTCTTTGTTTTGTTTTTTTATTTTTTTGAGAAAGGTCTTATATAGCCAGGTTGGTGTCCTGCTTGCTTATCCACTGAGGAGAGACCTGAGCTTCTGACGATCCTGCCTCCATCTCCTGAGTACTTGAATTACAGGTGAGTGTCACTCACTCTACCAGGATCATGTTTGCTAATTCTGCATCTCTTAAGTCTCTGCTTTTCATTGCTATTATGTTTTAGGTCATTCAGTAGACTTTGGGAGTCCTTTCTGTTCTTGTTTTGCTGCTGGGGATACAACCCAGGACTTCTTGTATATAAGGCAAATACTCTTTTACTAAGTCACACTTGGAGCCCAAATCCAGAGTCCTTTAAAGAGAGTTTTAAGCTAGTTTCTCTATAACATGTTCTTTATTAACAGAGTATTTAACGTCACTAGTGCTTTCATTCTTACAGAGCTAGATCTAATCTAGAAATGTTTACTGGGATGGTTAATCTTGATTGGACTAAACCCCCACCTGCATTAGTAAAGTACACCTCTGGAGGGATCAGGTTTCCAGAGATAAGTTATTGTGGTTTTTGCTCTGACTAGTTTGCTTTTTTTCTTTTTCTTTCAGCAATAAACTAATCATGCCTAAGTAGAATCTCCTATGTGTTTGTTCAATTTAAATTTCAGAGTTATTTGCAATTGTGAATTTACATTTTAGATTTTGGGAAAATGTTAATCATCCTTCTTCATATTTTTCTTCTGCACTATTCAGTTTCTCTCTCCTAAGATATCAATTCCAATTGTGCACATTTGAGACTAGTTAATAATGTTTTAGAGGTCTGATGCTCTGTTCGCTTATTTATTTTTTAAGTTAATTTATTTTTATTTTATATGAGTGGGTGTTTTGCCTGCATGTCGGTGCACCACATACATGTATGTGTTCTGGAGATTGAACTCACATTACAGAAGGTAGAATAAACAGATAATTTTTCCCTTAGAGAGTTGACATCTTTCACATCTTTTCCTTTGTCTGGGAGATAGCATAAAGGACAAATAAATTCTTCTGCTTCTTTAGACCATGTTGCAATTTTAAATATGTTTAATTTACTTCTTATTCTAAATAATTAAGTATTAAGCTTAGTTTCTCCTTCATTGGGTTTATCTCTTATGTACACAGGACCAAAGATACACTTGTTTGCTTTTCAGCTAGTAGCAGCTTCCACACTTCATAGGGGCTTGTTTCTTTGATCTCATCTCAGGTGACATGCATGGGGGCTGTGCTGCAGCTGCACCTAACTGTACTTAACGTGCATATGACATTGATAAATCTCACAGACACAATGAGGGAAGTATGCCAGATACAGAGAAGCCTGAACTATGATTCTATGTACGTGAAACTTAGACAGACTTCATCCACAGTGTTAGAAATGGGACCACTGTTCCTGCGGGGAGGAAGGAGAGGTGGTGATTGCAAAGGGATGAGGAAGACTTTTCACAAGCTCTAATATTTCTTTACCTTAATGGGTTCAATTTGTAAAGCTTTATTGAATACATTGCTTGTGATTCGGTCCCATTTGTGTGTGTTATAGTTCAGTAGGCAACTCTTGCATCAAAACCAAACAAAGCCCAAGCCGTAAACTGAGTATGATGGAACATATGTATAATCCTAGCAGTCAGGAGGTTGAGGCAAGAGGGTTAGAATTTGAGCTAATAGCAAGAACCTGTTTAAAAAAACAGAGTTAAAAAAGAAAAATCAAGCATGAATTGGGAGAAGACATAAACATACATAAAGTAGAATTTGTATGTAAACTATTTCTAAGATTTTTTTCATTTGTGTGTGTGTGTGTGTGTGTGTGTGTGTGTAGTTGTGAGTTGCCCAGTGTAGGTGCTGGGAACTGAACTCTGGTCCCTGGAATCCATGTAAAAAAGCCAAATGGCATATGCTAGTTAGCTCAGTGCTGGAGAGGTACCAATGAGCAATCCTGTCTCAAAAGAGGTACACACACACACGCACACACGCACACATGTCTGGTTACTATGGATCTATCTGCATCAGAACAGGTATGTGAAGCAGAGGATTAGATCTGAGAGACTTTTTTCTCTATTTTTCCTTCCAATATCCTCTGTAGTAGAGCTCAACAAGATTCCTTCAGCAGAGATGACCCTGACCAGGTGACTAGTTGAGAATTTTTTTAAGAATTTTTTATTTTATGTATATAAGTACACTGTAGCTGTCTCAGACACACCAGAAGAGGGCATTGGATCCTACTACATACAGATGGTTGTGAGCCACCATATAATTGCTGGGAATTGAACTCAGGACCTCTGGAAGAACAGTCAGTGCTCTTAACCACTGAACCATCTCTCCAGCCCATAGTTCAGATTTTTTAAGTAATGTTATCACTTTCCTTATTTCATGTTTCTATTCAGAAAATGATGACTGCCGTTGTTACAGATCCCTGTAGTTTTAGCTGTTGGAGAGACTAAAGGAGGGGATCACATGAGCCTTGGAGTTCTGAGGACAGCATGGCTAACAGAGCAAATCTCTCATCTCAGAAAAGCAACCAAAAGCAGAGTGTCAGATGTAAATCAGCCTGGTGTGGTGGGCAGGCCTGAAGTCCCAACTCACTGGGAGTAGATGAAGGAAGATCCCGAGTAGGAGAGACCTTGTGTTTGCCACCATCCCCAAAATGCAGCCAGGTGTGGCGGCTCATGCTTGAAATCCTAGCATGAGGGAGCTGGGGCAGGAAGAGTACTGTAAGTTCTAGGCCAGCCTAGGCTACTAGTGGGTTTTAGACCATCTTGGGCTACAGAGTGACCCAGACTGAAAAACAAAATCCTAAAAGTAAATATTGTTGATACTTGATTGATGAAGGTATACATACTCACAAAATACCTGTTTTAACCCCAAATTTAAAAAAAAACACAGTTATAAACAGTAAAAGTCGCCCATAATTTATGTCATCATAGCTTGTTAACTATCTTTCAATAATTACTGAAGGTTTTAATTTTAGAAGTAGAATAATGTCGTTTTGTGGAGCATAGCTGTGGAAATAATCGTATTTTGTAGGTCATCCCAGGGAGAGGACAGAATTTTGCAGAAGCAAACACATGTAAGTCCCTCCCACATTTGCATAGCTTGGTTGTTAGACTGTGTGCTAGGCAACAGCCTTGCTTTCTCTTCTGTTGAGAATCAAGAGTTTGTTTTTTACTACTGTATGTTTATAAAAATTGCAGGCTAAACATTTTGAGATGAGGAAGGTGGATCTGTGCTCAGACACTGAAGGGACAGAAGTGATTCTGGCCACGTCGAGTGATGAAAAGCACCCGCCTGAAAACATTATTGATGGGTAAGATGGCCTCTTCCTTCTGTCCTGATTCCAGGGTTGTGAGATCAGGGAGCCCCTGGAGTACTGGGGCCTGTTTCATAACAACTTCACTGTTAAGCCGTCTAATAAGTATTTAGTGAACTAAATGACTTCACAGTATCTATTTGCAGAGTCATTATTGAACTAATTGAGTTGTGAACACTTTTTTTAGCCTTAATAATTCTTAGACTGACCCCTTGATGCAAATAGGTTCAATTTTTTAAAATTTTATTCTTTTATATTTTTCAGTACTGAAAATTAGACCCAGGGCCCTCCCATGGTAGACAAGTACTCTACCATCATGCTGTTACCCCAGATTTTTTGTATTTATTGTGATTTGGGTTTTCTAAGTCAGGACCTTACTAACCTAGATTTGTCTTAAATTCAGATTCTTCTATCTCAGAGTCCAGGATTATAGTTGTGTTCTGCAATTCCTACTTTGTAAATTGATGTGCATGAGTGTTCTAAGATTCATTTATTTTCATTTTACATATACTGGTGTCTTGCTAATATGTAAGTATATGTACCATATGTCTGCAATGCCCAAAGACAGAGAGGGTACCAGATCCCCTAGAACTGGAGTTACAGATGGTTGTGAACTGCCATGTCGGTGCTACGAACCAAATCAGGTCCTCCACAAGGGCAGCCAGTGCTCTTAACTATTGGGCCATCTCTCCAGCTCATAAATAGGTTTTAAAAAGTATTTTACTGAGACAAAAACAACAACAAAAACAAGACATCAACTTCATTTTATGGAAGAATAAAATTTAATATTTGCTTTTGGTTTAGTTCTAGATTTTTCTTAGAAATAGAAATATATAAACTCGGTCACTTCCTGTGTACCATTTGCTTCCTTGCTGGTCTAAGCAGCATCTTTGCTGAGCTAAAAAATGCCTCACTTCTTGCCCTTCCTGCATCGTGTGCTTCCTTCCAATCCCACTTGGCCAAGGCTAGCACACATTCTAGGTAGAGGAAAGTAGTATTTTCAGACCTTTCATTCCAAGAAAAGTGACCAATGGAGAACACACCACTTTTGTTTATTTTTATATTTTATTTTATATGTGGATTTTGCCTACATGTATGGCTGTGCAGATGTATTCAGTATCTGGAAAGGCCAAAAGAGGATGTCAGATCCCCTTGACTGGAGTTACAGACCATTGTGTGCCATTGTGTGGTTTCTGGGTCTTCTGGGAATGTAGCCTGTACTCTATCTAAACTAAGGACGGCTCTTTTAAATAGTTCTAGCTTATTATTAAATCCTTTCGATTTGTGTACTTAACCACATCCGACTAGTGGAATCATATCGTTTTAGAGCTGAAAGGATTTATTAGAGTATCTTTATTTTAGACTTAACAGGTGTACATATTAAACACTAGTTTTAATTATTGAGGCAGAGCCAGTTGTAAGATGGAGCTGTTATTAGTCTCCCTAGTCTATCTTTGACTCTACAGAATCTTGTGCTTGGACAAGATCTTGACAGTCAAGGTCAGTTGCTGCTCCTTTCTCACACCTTTCCCTCAGGTGGGGTTACTTCATGGCTTTGCTAGACTCCAGGAGCATTTGGTTTTAGTCCCTATTATGAAATTGTGTGATTTGATTTCTTTTTTTTTTTTTGTAATTGTTTATCTGTAATATTATGTTCTTTCTTGGTTGTGAATTCTTAGAAATCGGCTTGGGTTTTGCTTATCTTTGACTCTACAGAATCTTAAACTGTTTGTTAACTAGGTTTTTGATTTAGAATATCAAATATTTGTTAAACTTGGCTAATGTTAAAAAGCATGAGAGTATAATTTATATGCATACACAATATATAAATGTATATGCATACACACACATATATATGACTGCACATTTTTTAGGGCTTTTACAATTTAGGAAGTTGTAAGCATATATAAAACCTGTTTTCAGCTGGGCATAGTATGTTATATCTATTGTATTAGTCAGGGTTCTCTAGAGTCACAGAACTTATGGATAGTATCTATATAGTAAGAAATGTGTTGATGACTTACAGTCTGTAGTCCAACTCCCCAACAATGGTCAGCAGCAGCTGTGAATGGAAGTTCAAGGATCTAGCAGTTGCTCAGTCCCACAAGGCAAGCAGGAGAAGAAGAGAGGGAGTCTTCCTTCTTCCAATGTCCTTATGTAGGTCTCCAGCAGAAGGTGTGGCCCAGATTAAAGATGTGTACCAATAGGCCTGGATCTGGGACTTGCTTTGTCCCAAATGACCTTGAACTCAGAGATCTCCTTGCCTTGATCTCCCAGATTTCGTAGGCACTATGCCTCAAGATGTCCATGCCAAGATCCAGGTCAGAAACTTGTATCTCCCAGCCTCAAGATCAGGATCACAGGTGAGCCTTCCAATTCTGGATTGTAGTTCATTCCAGATATAGTCATGTTGACAACCAAGAGTAGCCACTACAATCCACCCCTTGTCAACTTGACACAAATAATATCTCATGACCACATGAAATATTAACAAGGTCATGAATACGCTTAACATGATATAATTATTCCACATACAATAGCAAACACATGTATAAATTTACAATGGGGCAATATCCCTTGGGAATATTCTTTTAGTATCTCAACTTAAATACCAATTGATGTTAAAGAAATTAGAAGAAAGACAAATATATTCTTAACAAAATAAAACAGAAGCATTCATATTACTTTATAATTCTTGTTTCTGCAACTGCTTACATGGCCTTAACTGGTATTTATAACTACCTTTTTCTACTATCCATTCTGTATTTCCTCTACCCTCTGCAAGCACCTCAGCAGGTCTTGGTTCTTTTCCTGGAGGAGTGACCCATACCTTCATTCCTGATGGGTCTGTGTCCTTTGTCATCCTGCTTAGATATTTCCTGTAGTAGTTTCCCATTAACTTTAGTCACAGGACATGATAGTACTAAGAGATGCCCTAAGTGATTTCCTACACTCCAGACATAATCCTTCTTACCTCCATAGTGAAGAGGCAATCCAATTTCCCCATGGTAATCTGGATCTATCACCCCTCCTAACACTGTTATTCCTTTCTTAGCCTGTTGATTTAAGGGCATTAGAAGCCCAAAATGACCATTGGGGAGTCTGAGCTTCCAGTTCAATGGAATATTTGTTTTGGCTCATGGTAGGAGCACTCCCCCCTCTGAAACCAAAACTTCTGAGACAGCAGAACCTAGAATTGTGGGGACAGAAAACAAAAATTTTCCTAGCGGGTCACTAGGAGTGATAGTGAGTAGAACTATTCCCTTTTCCACCCCTTGATTCCTGGCTATGGGAGAAAATGTACCATATATCGTACACTGATTCAAAGCATATACTGCCTTCGGAAGAACTCTGCCCCAGCCCTCCATGCTGCTGCCACCTAATTGGTGCTGTAATTGCATCTTCAGAAGGCCATTCCATCTTTCTATCAGACCAGTTGCTTCAGGATGATGGGGAACATGGTAAGACCATGGTATGATCGTGGGCCCACTGTCACACTTCTCTGGCTGTGAAATGAGTTCCTTGGTCAGAAACAATAATGTGTGGAATATTGTGACAATAGATAAGGCATTCTGTAAGTCCACGGATGGTGGTTTTGGCAGAAGCGTTATATGCAGGAAAGGCAAATCCATAACCAGAATAAGTATCTACTCCAGTAAGAACAAAACATTGTCCTTTCCACGGAGGAGGTAGTCCAATGTAGTCAACCTCCCATCAGGTTGCTGGCTGGTCACCTCAAGGAGTGGTGCCATCTGGGGCTCAATGTTGGTCTCTTCTGTTGGCAGATCTGGCATTCAGCAACAGCTGTAGCCAGGTCAGCCTTGGTGAGTGGAAGTCTGTGTTGTTGAGCCCAAGCATAACCTCCATCTCTGCTACCATGTCCACTTTGTTCATGTGCCCATTGAGCAGTGGCAGGGATGGCTGGGGACAGAGACTGACTGTCCACAGAACAGATCATCTTAGGCACGTGATTACTGAACTCCTCCTTAGCTGAAGTCACCTTTTGGTGAGAATTTACACAGGACACAGATATCTTCATGTCCTTTGCCCATTTGGAGAGATCTATCCACACACTTCTTCCCCAGATGTCTTTCTCACCGATTCTCCAATCATGATCTTTCCAAGTCCCTGACCATCCAGCCAATCCATTGGCTACAGCCCATGAGTCAGTGAGCATTCGCACATCTGGCCATTTCTTCTTCCAAACAAACTGTAATACCATGTGTACTGCCCGAAGTTCTGCTCACTATGAAGATTTTCCTTCCCCTGTGTCTTCCAGGGTTGTCCCGGAAAGGGGTCATAATGCTGCAGCTGTCCACTCCTGGGTGTTGCCTACATAGCATGCAGAGCCATCAGTGAACCAGGTCCTGGTCTTCTCTCCGTCAGTCAGCCGATCATAGGGAACACCTCATGAGGCTATAGGTGCATGTTTGGCAGCAGATGGCACTGTAAAAGGAGTAGAAACCATAGGCATTTGAGCAACTTCTTCATGTAACTTACTTGTGCTTTCAGGACCTGCTGGGGCCCCATCACATATATACCACTTCCATTTATAACAGACTGCTGCTGTGCACGCCCTGCTTTATGACTTGGAGCATCTAAACACCCAGCTCGTGATGGGCAGTTCAGGTCACATGGTAACTTGGTGTCCAATTGTCAAACGTTCAGTTTCCACTAAGGCCCAATAGCAGGCCAAGAGTGTTTTTCAAAGAGAGAATAGTTGTCTGCAGATAATAGTAGAGCTCTGCCCTAAAATCCCAAAGGTATCTTCTGTGATTCACCTATAGGTGAGTTTACCTCTGCCAGAGGCTCCAAACAGCATCTCTGTCTGCCACCGACACCTCAAGTCCCATCAGGTCTGCTGGATCATGTGGTCTGAGTGCTAGAGCAGCCAGCACAGCAGCCTACACAGCAGCACCACATCTACAATCTTATTGTACTGAGACACTGAGGCAGGAGAGTTGCCTTGAATTCAAGGCTAGTCTGAACTGCGTGAG